AAATATTGTGTCCATTATCGACGATTATAATATTTCCTTTAATAGGAATTGCATTTAGATTATATTTCATGATTTTAATATTTTTATTATTAGTAATATATAGGGCTCGGATGTTTATGAAATTGCATATTTTTTTCTATTTATCCAATTTATTGCTAACCTGGATACAAATTTGATTCATGTTCTACTGAATAAAATAATGCTATTTTTATTTTGCATATTTAGTGGTTTTGTATTTTAAATGCATAATTTTTGATTTTAAGAATATAAATGCATATTTCAAGACAATTTAACGTAAATATTAAATTTACGTATTAATAATGTTCCTAATTAGTTATTAGGTATTTTTATATCGTGCTTGTCTGGAATATTTATTAGATAACGATTTAATAATAGAATTTTGTATACACTTCATGCCATGAGTATGTGGCGACGAACCGACGACCAGGCCACGTATTAGTACGATTTTAATCGCCGTGTTTCCCGGTCGGTCGTTAAAGAGTACCTATTATTATTTATATTTTTCCGCGGTCAGTTGTACTTTTATTTAAAAATGCCGAAATGTAAGTCGTCTTGTTCAATTCGTCTTAAAAGTTACGACAAATTTCAGAACGTAATTGAAAAGAATGCTGGGTTTAAAACTTTGGTACAAATTTCTAAAATACATTCTGGTGAAGTTGATACTATGGAAGGAATAGAACAAGATTTGAAGGTTGAGGATCTTGCATTCTTCAAGTATGCTCCAATAACGTCGGTAGATGTAGAACGAAGTTTTTCACGTTACAAAAATTTACTTTCCGATAACAGACGCAGCTACAAGTTTGATCAAATTAAAAAAACTATTGTATCACAGTGTAACGCTGATAATTTAATAATGTAATAAAATGAACTAACTAATTTTTGTTTTATGAATTGTAATAAATTTTTTTGTGCATATTTTGGTGTTTTTATTTACTAAAAATGCATATTTTATAATTTTTAGCGCATATTTTGTTTGCATATTTCGTAATTTTTTAGTGCATAAATGCATGCATATTACAGTTGTTTTAAGTGCATAAACATCCGAGCCCTAGTAATATAGTATTCATATTTACAAAACTTAACAAATATTTTATTATTTAATATTGATTTTTCTATTTCATTTTC